CGTCCATGAAAATGTTGTTAAGCAATACTTGGGAAGCTTCAGGAAATGTTTGACTTTCACGAGTGGCGAGTTCTCTAAGGGTTCTAATTGCCAAATAAGGGCTTGAACTTATACCAAACGTAACAGTATTCAACCGGTATTCCTGTAAGGGTTCGCTGGGATGAAAGCGCCAAAGTAGTCTTTGGTAATCTCTATGAATTGGGTTTAGTTGGATTTGCAAAAAATGTTGCTTGATATCAGCTAAAAGCACGACAGAATAGAATCTAAATTTGAGTAGAATTTCGCAAATATCATTTTGCAATTTAGGTTCCGTTAAAAGGGTTTCGTTTAGGCTTGTGCCATTTGATCCTTTAACGGAGGGGTTAAAAACCACCCGGAGTTTTGTGGTTGATTTATCCAGACGAAGCACTCCATGATGCGGTAAATAGCAGCATAGATTTGGCCTAGATTCGGTTTTTGGGATTAAAGACATATGACCGTTTTTGAGGTATTCGCTCATAAAATCAGCATACAAGCTATAGATTCCAGCGACATGAATAAACGATAGGCTATTGAATAGGTATCTCCAAGGTTAGGAGGGTCGATGTGACGAAATGGTAAATTGACTGTAAAACGACCAGATGTATCCCTGGTGGTTGTCTTTTGGTAAATTTCTTCACACCTTTTTTCTTCGGGCGATAGAAAAGTTTTGGGTTTGATTGCCTCTAGTTCCCAGAATTTTCGGATACTTGAATCGAGAGATTGTTCACATGAGATGAAATATGAGCTGACATGGGGTTGAATATCTATATTTTGGGTTTGTACCAAGAATACCCATCCAAAGATGGTTTCAAAGGCAGAAGGTTGACCTGGTGGTCCTTGAATCCTCCCTGTCCGAAGAATTTCGGTGAATATTTGTGCTCCTAATAGCATGTCTATGGGAGCAGGAATGTTGAATTGGTCATCAGCAAGCTTTAAGTTGGAAATGTGACTCCAAGTTGAAAAATCAATTTGCATTGAAGGCATATTTGCACAAAGTTTTGGCAGGATGAAAACTTGAATATGAAAGGTAGGTTGGGTTTGACCTAAAGGTCGAATGGTGCAAGTAGCTACGCCATTTGTAGATGACGAGGACTGATTTATACCTAAAACCGGAATTGCATTTTTATTCCTTCGAATGCCTAGGCGATTTATACAAGAATCGCTGATTAAATTAATTTGGCTACCACTATCCAGAAGAGCTCTAACTGTTTGGTAATTGCCTCGAACATCGAGAACTTCGAGCTTTATGGTTGCCAAAAGTACTGTGGTTGGTGTTGACGGCGAAGTACAAAGATTGTTTGGATTAGGATCGATCGCGATGAGACTCATATTTCTTTGGATTTCATTTGGATTTGCCTCGATTTGACTTGAATGTTCTTGGATTGCATTAAAATTGCCTTGGTTTAAATTGGGATTCGTTTGGATTAGACTTGTATTCGCTAGGAATTGATTCGACATTTGGTTTTGATTCAAGGTAAAGTTTGGATTCGAGTAAACTAAATTGGAATTGTTCGAGTTTGAATTTGGGTTTGACGATATTTCAATGGATTGGTTATAGGTTGGGTTTGGATTTTGGCGATAAGAATCACTTATTTGGGGTAGGTGCAATAATGTGTGGTATCTGTGTCGGCAAATTTTACAGTGGAAGGTACTTGTGCATTCTTGTAAATAGTGATTTGCGCACAGACAGTTCACACATGCGTTTTGTTGTTTCACGTAGTTGAAACGTTCCGAAGGTGTTTTTGTAATAAATACTCCACATTGAGATAATGGGTGATATAAGTTGTTGCAAAGTTTGCATTTAGTTGAATTTTGATTTAATTGGGGTTAGTTATTAGTTGGTTTATAGGCTGGAGCTGGTGTTCGTACCAACAAATTGGAAGGTGTATTCGATTTGTACGGGTTTTGGGAATAGGAATTATTCTTTTTGAACTGATAGTTTGAATTGTTATTTTTTGGAATTTGTTTTGATGTCGAGGGTTGCATATTTTCGCTCTGTGGGATGGTTTGCATTGTTTCTAGGGCTTTGCACTGGTTAGTAAGAAATTGGATCAGGTTTTGGTAGGTTGGAATTTCGGTAGTGCTAAACTTTAACTCGAAAGCGGTCCTTGTAGATGTATCAATTTTTGACAATAAAATGGAAAATAAACAAAAACACCATGCATCCACCGGGAAGCCTAGATTCTTGAGTGCGGCAATATTCTCCACGAACGTGTCTACTAGCGATCTGAGATCTTTTGGTGCATTATTTTTTATTGAATTTGCATTATAAATTGAGTTCCAATAAGAGCTAGCCAAAAGTCGTTTGTTTCGATACCTCTCGGTTAGTGCATTCCATGCAATGTCGTAATTGCTGGATGTTAATTTGATTGAGTTAAGAATATTTAATGGTTCGCCCTCTAAACATGAAAGTAAATGTTGAAATTTTTTGATATCTGAATAGTTTGTATTATCATGAACAAGTGACGTAAAAACATCAAAAAACGTTGGCCATTTCTTGAGGTTTCCGTTGAAGGTCGGTATTTTTAATGGTTCTAGTTCATCTCTATATGAATTGTTTACAATCGAGGGGGTGAAACCGGAATAATTTGCGCGAAACATCGTAGAAAATATTGCCCTTGTTTGGTGATAAAATGAGTCAGTATCTTTTCGAATTTTATCTTGAGCATCAAATTCTGCGTCGCTATCTCCAAGAAGACCGATAATCTCATTATGAATGGTTTAAAACTGATCATAGTGATCGTCTAGTGATTCATAGGACGCTTTAAAAACTAGCTTTACAGTATCATCGCTTTGAGATTTAATTGCTAAGTTGAAAGTTTCTATAATACGAGCGATTGATACTTAACTTTTTTGTTGCCATTTTGTACAATTATAAATATAAATAAATTAAGTTGAATACTCTGAGTAGATTATTTATTTGCTAAGAATTGATTTTTTCCTTTTGAATATAGAAATAAAAATTGTTACCTTTTAGCTATCATTAATCCCAAACAAATGCACAAAAGTACACTCAAAATCACAGCACTAATTTTTCCTTAATTTGTTTTACGTACGCGATAACCGAATAAAAGATTTGAATTGTTGAATTATTGAATTATTGAATTATTTATGCACCTTTGATTCTATAAGCAAAGCAAGCCTGTGTTGAATTTATTCTTGCAAAAAACAAAATAAATGGAATCTTGTTTTTTCTTACTAAGGAATTTAAAGGTAAACGTAAACAAACTGTGTACCGAAATTTGGATAGAGTGAGACCTGAGTTGAAAGGAGCGCGGACGAATCGGACAGCGCGGACGACACCTAGCTTGAACCTTGAAACTATTTGAAATTTAAAAATGACGATAAAAAATTGAAATGCTATTTTATTAATATTCGCGAGACCAAAATTATTTCTTTTTTGAAATCAATCGGGTCGTGGGACCAAATAATGTTCACGAAAATTTGCGTTAGGTTTTCGAAAGTTTAAAGAGCAGCGGGACTGTAGGCGCTAAATTCAATTTTGCCGCACAAATATTAATGGACATAAACCCGAGCCATACAAAGACAATGGAGGATTGGCACTTACTTGGTTTATGCTGGTTTTCGTCGATTCAGAGGAGCTCTTCGTGTCCAGAAAGTCTGCTTCTCAGCGACACACCAATACAACACAGTCTTAGAAATAATAATAAGGAATTTTTGCCTTGAATTCGATAGTTTTCTTGATTTTTGATAACGACCGAAAAAGCGGACGTGGTTTTAGAGACACGGCTTCGTACTCCTTCCTGCTTCCTTCTCATAAATCACATATTTTTCACATACGCCGAGTCTGCGCGAGCGGTGCCAATTTTGATTTGAACTTGTATGGCATTTAACGGTTTTTTCTTTCGTAATTTTTGAATGAATATATAAAATAACAAAGGTGCATGAACAGGGATAAATAGGCATTAAACATTGAAATGGGTGTTATTCTGCAAGACTGAGGTCAAATTTTAAAAATAGAACGGCAAAATGTAAAGATTAAACAGCCCTTTGAAATAAGCTATCACTCGATTCGCTGTCTCATTTGAAAATTTTGGGGTGGTAGCCCTAGGACTTAGGGGGTTGAAGGGGCGAAATCCAGTTTTACGTAAGAAACCTTCCCCCTCAATAAATTTTTTGACGTGTTTCGGCGATTTCCAGAAATTTGTCTGTTGTGGCAAGTTTTGAAATGAAAGCCTTGTATATCACATCACCATGGAATGATTTGTTGACTTTTTGTCTAATGTGGAACCTTTTCAAGTATTATCCGTTCACAATCCGATGTCCACAGGTAGGTACAGGTAAAATCACCTTTCAATGCTATTTGATAGGGAAAGGTGATAAATTTACCTGCACCTGTGGACATCGGATTGTGAACAGGATATACAGGGTGTCCCACGAGGTTTTTCCCAAATGATAACTTCGGAACGCATCATCGTATGTTCCACTGTATAATTTTTTATCATTTTCTTTAACAAAGCCTTAACAAATATGGCATTGCCGATTTTGTAATTTAATTTTCTAACGAAAAATGCCATAATATACCATGAGTTACATTTAAGATTTGAAAGATGACGTCACTTGACCGAAATTGAAGCGAAACTAGTGAAATTGGATGACAAAGGTAGAAGCGGCACAAAATGTTACCCAAATTCTCAAAATTTCAATTATATTGGATGACGCGTTCCGAAGTTATTACCTGGGAGAAACGTCGTGGGACACCCTGTATATACTGCTATAACATTCGTGCCAGCGCCAGCCCATAAATTTTTGGAAATATATTCTTTCAACACTTTTTCCAAGTTACTCGTTTTAGATCAATGGTTGTTACCATTAAGCAACTGAATAATAAGTAGCCCAACACTATTACGTAAAATATTCAAAATTGTTTTTGTTTGGTTTTGATCCACTCATTGCAGTTGATATTTTGATCAGAAAATTTCCCCTTTATTCTCAAACCACTATATTAATATACTTACAGTGATTAGCAATCCCATTTTGGTTTGCGGTTTTTTTCTTTTCGGATAAAACTTGTGAGCCAAAGCAACCAAACTGTCGTCGTATCCAAAAACCAAATCGTCAGCGGTCACACTGACAAAGGGCCGTACTGTTCCCATGCTCACCATTACGGAAATAGCTTTTTGAACAAACCATCCTAAGTTGTTGGATTGTGATGATAAAGTCTGTGAAAAGTTGCTAAATTTAACAAAAATGCGTGTACTAACATAATATATTATAAAACGGAAAATGAAATACGAGCTCTATTATTAATTAATAATAACGATATTCGAATAAATAAAAATGTATTACCTAATTTTTCCAAAGTTATAATTATCGCATTATTATTGCAGTTTTCGAATAACTATCACGCGTATTATTAATTAGGTATTTAGCGAACGCATCCTTATTGCCTTTAATTATGTTGTTTGTATATAATAATTATAATTTACTTGTCGGAAAATTATTACGCTTACGAGTGTGTAGAAAATGATGAAATTTTAACTTACAAGTAAAGGAATATTTGGAATTGTTATTTTATAATTTTTATCCACACTCAATTCTGGGACGAACTTCAAAATTTTCTTGTGTTGATAAGAAACGGTTCCGTTGTCGTGGAATTTTATGTTGACTTTTTCCATATCTTCCCTGGAAAAATTAAAAATTGCGAATTTTATTAATATACATAATTTTTAAATTCGATCAAGTTTGCTTTAATTTTTATGACCTTGTATTTGTTTCAAATTAGTTAAATTAATAAATTTGCTGAATAGATTAATACCTAATTTAATTAGGCAAAGCGAAAGTGGTTTTGACCCAAAAAATATCACATGCGGATTGCATTTCTTCTTAAAATCTATGGCTTCACAAGTTATATAATTGTTTAATTTTTGAGTGACATCGATATTAATTTCAAGGTTAATTTGAGTTTTTTTTTCAGGGTTGCATGTATGGTAGGTACGATTTTTGTTTTAAAATTTCCTGATCTATGAGCATGATTATTGCAATATATCTACTATATAAATAATAAATAGATAGTTATTGAATAATAACATAGTAAAGTAAGTGAAATGGAACGCTTTTGGTTCAATGTATTTCGAAACGTGCCTGTTTAAATAAATATTTGCATTCTTGTGGTTTGAATAAAAATATAACCAAAACTACATTTTCAAGTAGTGTATAAATAATAACATAAAAAACATACTAACCTATAAACAAATGGTCCTATTTCTTTTAACTTTGGCTTTTCCCCTTGCTTAAGAAATCCATCTGGATTCGTTACGTTAAATATATAAACTTTTGTTAATCTTATTACACCTGGTTTCTGCCAGTATTTAAAACTAATCGAATCTTCACGTAGCCTCAGATTCTAAAAAGAAGAAAACATTAATTTGTTGAATTACTTTTCGAAAATTGCTTACCTTTAAAATTATATAATCTAACCATGGAATCGATGATAAAATAATCCCCATCGCCAGAGTAAAAAGTCCAACAATAATAATTGATAAATGTCCTGAAAAAAATAAAATAAAACTAATTAATGTAACACCAGAAGTGTTGAAAATATACTTACATATTTCTAATTATTTAATAAGGTGACTCTTGTCTTATTTATGATTTTAATTTTCATTTATATTAATACCAAAGTAATTAGATTTTATTGACTAAATAAATTAGATAATTTTGGTAATATGTATACAAAAGTTAAAACTTAATATATAAAAGGAATATGTATTTTAAGACGATGTGTATAATGAGGTGTAAAATGGCGATATTTTAATTTTTAATGAGATTTACCTACGCAACCACCTAATAATTATAATGGACATTTTCTTGGAAAACAATAAAATTGGTGGTCATAGCCTTCTTAGAATAAACATTATATATTAAGGCATATAAATAGTTATTTATGACGCGCTGTTATACTTAATGGAATATAAAATAACTCAAGATTTGATGTTTCTGTATATGACGCGCGTAGTTTGTTTTATAATTCGTAGTTTCAAGAGAAAAACTTTGTGACAAGTTTTACAAACAATAAATGATGGACTATCAAAAATAATATGGTATGGGTTTAACATCAATAAAATATAAAATAGTCCAATATCTAACGTCAAGGTAGCTTCATATTTCAATACTCTCTCTCATTAAGTGACATCTTATTGGATCATCAAAGTGAAGGAAAAACTTCCTTTGGTTTTGTCAAAATGTCAGCAATATTTTCTTTAGTAGCTATGTATTGCACCTCGACATCATTTTTCATAATCGATGTGTTTACTCCTTTGTTGCATTCCAATATAAATTGCATCTTGGTTATCACACAACAGTGGCTTAGAATTATTGTTTGGCAGATCAAAAATCAACTGCTTCATCCACATGCTTTGTCTACAAGCCAATGGCAGCGCCATATATTCAGATTCAGTAGTGGGCACTGCGATACTTTGCTGCCTTTTTGAAGTCCATGTGACTGCTGCGTTACCATAAAACTCAATGTATCCACTACTGGATCGTCTTGTATCTGCTCAGTCTCCATATATGATGCATCACTGCACTGTAAACACGAATTTCAGGATTTTTTGTGAAGTTATAGGTTAAGCTTTTATTTATGGAACCAGGTAATTTATTTTGACGCAGTTTCATATGAGTTTCTAACTGGTCAGTTTGAAACTGTGATAACTTTTTCACCACATACGCTGTCAGGTCTTGTTCCAATGCCAAGAAATTGAAGACTTTCAATCTTTGACTGATACAGCTCTTTGCTCTTTTATCTTTCTCTCTGGCTTTTAGAGCTTTGGTACCAGCATCCATTGGAAGAGAGGCCGTCTTACGTCTAACAGTTCACTATGATATTTTTGCAAAACTTTTTCTAAGTATCTTTCTTGATTTAAGGACACAGGTGAAGGATTCCATGAAATTTGCAACGATAATAAAGATTTTGGTTTACCTAGGTAAGTGACCTTAAAATTTTTAGATAGAATATCTTTCACTTGTTGAATATTTTTTATTTGCAATCATATATGTAATCTTGTCATTACTGGCTTTTTAAAAATTTGGAAGTGACACTTTACCTGTGTCACTTCCCTCTTCGATTTCCCTCACCGATTTCCCTATTCGACTTCCCTCACCGATTTCCCTCACTCTAATTTATTTACCTTTGCTGGCAACAATGAGAACATGTCAGGTAAAAACGTCAATGCAGTGAATGACACATTTTGGCATGGTTGTTTTATTTTTTCAATATTAAAAAAATTGATTGACTAATCATAATATAGCTATTTATACAATAAGTTACGAAATGAGCGTCTTTTAGGCACGCGACGTGAAAATTGTCCAACGAGGCAAAGCCGAGTTGGACAACACGTCGAGTGACTAAAAGACATCGTTTCGTAACGTATTGTATACAAGATTTTTTCTACTGGCATTTTATAATAAAAAAAACACAATTTTATTTCATGTGAATAAGTCGATTACACCCAAAATCTTTGTCACCTGCTTTCACTTGACACCTGACACTTTTCATGCGATTTTCTTTTCAAAATTCGGCATCAATAATTAAAATCCTAGAAAGTAGGTAATAACACAAAGTTCTGTTTTGAGTAACCCAAACGTTCAATTCAGTAATTCCATTTTCAATATTCATAATAAATACAAAACAAAATTCAAATATGTGGTTAGTGTTGTTTTTTATTTCTGAATAATGAATGACACTTTTAGGCACTAGTGCTTAAAAATTACTTTTACGCACTCATAAGTCACTTTTACGCATTCAAAAGTCACTTTTACGCACTGAGTGCCTAAAAGTAACTTTCACGCACTCAGTGCCTAAAAGAATGTCGTTTCAAAACTGAAATGACAATCGAAAAGTTGCTATTATGAAACGTCAGTAGAAAAAAATAGTATACAAACCTCGGAGGAAAGTTTTCATTTCTGTCTCGAGATTTATAGTCAATCTCTCGACAGTAATGAAACACATCCCTACTCGGTATGTAATATACTATTTCAGTTTTGCCTAGTGTACATAAATCATCCACATAAGCTTTGTTTTGGTTTTACTCAGAACTAGTTCGGAATTATTCTGCATGCACATTTTCGTTTCTTCAGAATCGTAATCGAACTGTGTTGAAAGCGTTTTGGTTTATTTAGAACTATGTAAGAACAATTCTGGGATTGTTCTAGAACGGTTCTCTCAGTTCTTACTCTGAAGGAGGAACTGTTTTGTAATTTTGTGATTGGTGGCTTATTTTGATTTTTTTGGTTCCGAATCGGTTCAGAATTAGTATCAGAACAGTTTTCCATTATTTTTTGTGCGCAAGCAGTTCTGCGCAATCCGAGAACCGTCCAAATTTTTAACTAAAACAAAGCTATAGGTTGCAACTAATCTGTGTTCCATCTTGTGACAGAAACATACATGTGATCAGCTATGGATTATTCCACGTTTATTTCTTCCAAAACACTGACCAATTTATGATTCCATAATCTCTGGCTCAACGTCAACATTTTCTGAGATTTTCATGTAAATTTCAACACCTTAATCACCACTGAGAAATGCTGTTTTGATGCCCAGTTGTTTGGCAATCATATCATTATGTACACAGTGTGCCAGCAAAATTCTTATTGTATCATATCTTACAACTGGGAGAGAGAAGGTTTCCTCAAAATTGCCTAGAATCTGTGTGAAACCTCAGAGCCACTAATCCATTTTCTGACATTTTCTTCTTAAAAATCTATTTGCATCCCAGCTCTATAGTTTGGAGGTTCTTCTACTATCTTCTCAACTTTATTATTTTCTATGGACTCGAGTTCGTCTGTGATTGCCAAAATCTATTTGTCTGAATCAACACAGAAAGTAGCTTCTTTATAAGACCTCGGTTCATCACTTGCCTATTTGTTCATGGAGGTGGTTTGTTAGTGATGTGCAATGTGTATCATTTGATAACATAGTTGTTTTGTTGCAGAGATCGTCAAACTGGTTGGTGATGTTGATAGCTTCAGCTACATTGTTTTCGATTTTTGATTTCTCGTAATCAATTTCAATTCTGAATGTTCCTCTATTAATTCTGGCAGATCCGAGATGCTCAATATAAAACCCTGGTGGTGGATATTTCAGCGTAAACCTTTCTTGTACTTGTTGGGCGACACCGACGAGTATCATCATTGCATAAACGATGCTTATTTGTAAGCTTCTGACATACGTTCTGCCTATACGGATTGCTGTTGGTCATATCGTAGTTGTAGTCACCATGTGACTTGTTACTTGGCTGGACGCGAGTGTCCTAGTTGCTTCTTCAGTTCACTTCCTACTAGTAGTGGAATTAATTTATGCATAGGCCACCGGCTTGGATTTACGATGTTGTCTTTTCTGATAACGAAAGTTCCCCTTTTCAGGTTGTCCTTCTGGACTGTCCATTTATATCGTTGCTGAATTCTGCTCGGGTACTCTGTACACCATATCTCCGAGAAATCTTTCTTCATCTTCTCTATCAATCTCCATTGCTGTGATAGCTCGATAGTCATGTCTGTTGTTACTGACTACAAGGAAATGACCAGGCGTTAGTACCACATGATCATCCAATTCATTTGATAACGGCCATAATGGCCTGGAGTTTAAACATGCTTCGATCTGGCATCTTAATGTTGACAGTTCTTCATATGTAAGTGTAGCTTCTCCTACAATACGTTTCAAATGGTGCTGTATGGATTTTATTCCAGCCCTCCACAAACCTCCAAAGTGCGGCGCCGCAGAAGGGATAAAGTGCCATTTGATACCCAGGTTGGCAAGTGCATCTGTAACTGATGCGTTTTGTACTACGTTTCGAATTCCTGCTTCAAACTGCCTGGATGCTCCGACAAAATTGGTTCCATTATCACGTTTGAGCACGTGCCTCTTCGTGCGACCAACCTACGAAACGCAGCTAAAAATGCGTCTGTGGTCATATCACTGAGTACTTCTATATGGATGGCTTTTGTAACCATACACAAAAAAACAGCAATATAGCCTTTGTAGAACTTTGTAGACAGTGCTAGCGAACGTTATTGTTGGTGTCACTCTGGCTGCTGGCTGGTGTTAGTTGCCTCTTTGGCTGTTCAGCAGTTTTTGCTTTGTAACGTAAACACGTCACACATGTGGTGATAATACTTTTCACTGCACGTCGACCGTTGATTATCTAATACTTTCGTCTGATATATGCAAGTATTGTTTGGTTTCCACCGAGTAAGGTCTTTTGATGTGCATCTAGTATATTCAATCGATTTTGATAATCGGCTATGTGTATGATGCTTCTCGTCTCCAGTGTTCCGCCTACTCTTATTAGTTCGTAATCATCCAGATACATATTGAAACTGCGTAGTTCACTATTTTTGTCGACTGCTTTCTTATTGTAGTGTATTTTATAATCGTGGGCAAATTCATCAATCTGAACTTTCCTAATAACTTGTGGTAATGTGTCAGACATAGGGTTGACAAACTATCGAAAAAAAAACTATCGATAGTAATATCGATAGAATGGCCTACCC